TATATCCTGTTAAAAAAGCAATTATAACTTTGCAATCACAGTCTTGTTCTCTTGCTGATTGTTTTTGTGAGCTTATTTATCTTGGGGCAGCAATTAACAAACTTACTTTTAATAACAATACATTTCATAATCAATGTATTGCTATTTTTAATAAAAGATATAATGAATTTGATAGTTCTATTTATTTGTTATGTTTTTTTTTACACCCTAAATATAATGGTAAAAAATTAATAATATTTAAACTATAATATTAAGCATTTTTTTATTAATAAATATTAAACTTTTACTTATAAATTATTTAGAATCATATTGGGGACATGGAGTTTTTAGAAATTTGTTATTAATGGCTGATGAACTTTTTAAAGAAATGAATAAATCAGATATTGCAAGAAAAGAATTATTATATCAAATGAAATTATATCGTATAAGAGAAGAACCATTTGATATTTCATATAGTGATTCAGAAAATCCAAGTGTTTGGTGGTTTTCACTTGAAGATTGTTTTCCAAAAAACAAAGATTATTTAGTGCAATTAGCTTTAAAATTATTTTCTGTTATCCCACATACTGCTGGAATTGAATGTGTATGGTCTAGATTAGGTTGGATATATAGAACTAGACAGAATAGATTAGGATTATATAAAATTAAAAATATGCAAAAACTTGCATCTTATTATAATTCACATGCTAAACAAGAATTACCATATTATAGTATTGAAAAAACAAATAATGAGGTTTATGAAATTTTAATGAATGAAAATTTAGATGTAGACGAAAAATTACTAAAGATAGTTTAAATGATGAAAATAATGAAACTGAAATATTTGATGAAGAAGATAATTTATTAATTAGTAATGTTTTGGATTTAAATAAGTTTTGTAGTGATTTAGATGAATTAGAATTTAGTATGGATGAAGAATATAATGTTGAAGAAAATTATAGTGAAGTAGAAGCTATTTCAAATCTAACTCAAGAGGCTCAAGAAAATGTTAATTGGGATCCAG